TAATTATATAAACAATCATTTTAAATTAAAATTTAATTATAATAGAATGTTCATGATTATTTTTAATTTTAATTTAATTCTTTTTTTGAACGGGATAAATGATGATGAGAAAGCCAAAGCCAAGGGTTTGTTGGTTCACCCGGTGCTTCGAACTTGAAGATGATGAATGAAGATTAGATTTGAAATCAAATAAAAAAATAATACAAAGTATTGTTCTTGATCGAAATCAGAAAGAAAAAGTGATGAAAAGGAGTGTGAGATTTGTTAGAGTGAGAGAGAGACAAGTTTTGTCAAAGTGAGATTTAAGTCTTTCCATTTATTATTTACTTAATTTTAAAATATCATTAAAAGTACAGTAAACATCTTTTACTTATTTTGTATCACTTTATCCATAGGTGCAGAGGGTAAAGTACTGATAAAAAAACTGCTTTGCACAGAAAAGTAGAGGAGAGAGAAAAAAAGTTAACCCCGTTAGTCTGTATTTAACGGAAAGGACTTGATTAAAGCAAATTTTACCACGTTTGGATGAAATTGAAACTTTTAAACCACGTTTGAACGAAATTGAATTTTTTTTAAAAAGGTGGACGAACTTGACACACTACACCCAAACTAGGGACAAAGAAAACAATTAAACCTATATTTTATTATTTACTTATATACAGTAATATACTATTGTTATAAATACATAAAACATGAGTAAATAAAGTAGGTTCACATAGATAAATATACTTATTAACTAACAAAAATTTCAAAGAAAAATAAATTTATTACATGGTAATTTTAATTTGAAATAATATAAAAAAATTAAAGTTAATTAATAGAATTTACAAGTACAAACTTAATCTTATAAATTAGTTTTTGTAACAATATATTTAAACTTTACCTTATTTACAGTATATTTAAACTTCATCTTATTCACTAGGGATGAGTTTTGAAAGAGGACAAATTTATGTAACTGGTATAAAATTTATTGTTTTCTTAACTTCCATAATTAAGTCTCTAAATACGAGATTTGGACCTTACTTATGCTTTGTTCACGTGTAAGGATTTGTGGAAGATGATTTGGAGGAGAGTGATTGAATGAATTTGAGGATAAATTTTTTGTTGTTTGTTTAAGTAAATTTGGAGGTAATTGAGAGTGAATTTGAAAGTAAAGTTTATGAGAATTAGTGTAGAATTTGACCTATGTGACAAATAAAAAAAATTATTTGATTGGTAGAAATTGAAGATTACCAAAATACCCTTAGTAATAAAAATATTGTATAAAATAATAATAATAATAGATAATAATAATAATAATAATATTATTATTATTAGAAGAAGAAGAAAAATATAAAAATTATAAACTAAAGCAAGGGTAAATATGAAAATTGACTTAAATCCTTGCAAATCTAGTTATCCCTACGAAGATTGAAAATCAGATGCATCCTGCGATCTCCTCCTTTTCCATTCGTGTTAATCCTTGAAAATGAACATAAAAACTTCTTACTTTTCATCTATGCAAATTCACGTGAAGAGGATTTTCCTTTCAAGTGAATATGTTGTTAGTTATGTCATCATACACTTCATATTGTGTCAAATATTTTTCTTCTTACTTTTATATCTTCTAAAACTTGGAATGTCCTCTTTTACGAAAAATTGATGTTTTTTCATGTTTGTCTAAAAATTGTGAAAATAATTATGATTTTTTTTTCTTGATTCCAAAATTTGCCTAACTACCTCATACTCTCATTTGTTTACTCTTGGGCTTTTTTTTAAACCTTTTTTTAAGTACAAAAATAAACTCCTCAAAATTATTCATTATTTCTACTTCAGAATTCAATCATCGGATAGACAAATTCTAACATGTGAATAGTGATTTTTCATGAACAATTATTATAGTATAGTTTTTCAATACAAATAACCACTATTCCCATATTAAAATTTGGCTCCACATAAATCGAGTCATATAAACAGTAAATAAATCTAAAGTTTGGAACTGTTTATTTGTTTCGTTTTAATAAAATATTATTTACTTGAAGAAAAAAAAGTTGTCAACTTTCAACTTGTACATGAATATATGGTGTTCGTTCATTGCTTATAACTATTTTCTCCAAATAATGCCTTATAAAAATAAATTTTCCATATAGATCCGTTACAAGATAATTTCTAAAATGGGCATGTTTATTGTGTAGATTGGGAATTTAGTTTCCAGTAAGTCGAATTCTCACCTTTGATTTGCAGCGTTGAGGAGAGAAGCTGTATAGAATTTGGTCTCTCGAAACTTGAATTTTGAGTGGGATTTAAATGTTTTAAGTAGGGGAGGGGAGAAAAAAATTAAAAGAAAAAACTGATTGATTTTAGAAAAATAAATAAATAAATCAACTAAAAATTTGAAAAATAAATTATAATTGATTTCAAAGAATAATAAAAAAATGAGGAATTTTTTAAGGACGACAATTTCATTAAATTGGGACAAATTTCATTATTCAATTCCATCTCTCAAATAAAAATTTATTCTTATTTTCATCTTATATTTAATAGGTATAAAATTTTGTCTTATTTCTATCTTCACGGACAATATAGGTATATTATATCAAATTATTACCATTTGAATTGTATTGGTACAAGAAAATGAAATCTAAAAGAAAAAGTATAATATTTCATAACAATATTATTATTTATAATATTGTATAACAATATTATTATTTATAGTATTTTATTACAATATAACTATTTGTAGTATTATTTTTAAATTTATTTACAAAACGAAGTATGAAATCTATAATAAGTTAAAACATAATTTTTAATTATTAAATTTATATTAAAGAAAAAATTTAAATACTTAAAAATATTATTAAGGAAAATAATTGAACAATTGAAATATTACATGCAAGGATCATTTTTCTATACATCAATTAAAAAAATAATTAGAACATTTACTACGATAACCAATTTTTGTCATATAACATCTAAAATTAGTAGATACTAACTGATAAATATAACATACAATCATAGTAAACATATAAATAACAAACCAAAACATAATATAGGATAAGTTAGTGTACATTTCAATCATGTTACTTATAAAATTTAACACTAATCCATACTAACCATTCATTTTTTATCATTTCACACATTATATTGAATCATTGATAGCATAAAGAATATCATACATCAAAGGCATCCATGTCTCTTCCATACACATATATACATATGACACGAGATTTCCAAAGGACTTAGTGTATTGAGTACAATATAAGATCACACATCTATTATACTCACTCTTATCTCTCAAGGGTTATGACTATATCATAATAGAGTCACATCCCCCACTAAAGAACATATATAATATTTGATTCTTTTACCAAATATATAGATGAAGACCTCCTTCAATTCTCACACTAAATATCTTTCTTTACATGAATTTAATACTTAGTACAATCATGATAGTCTCACTTCAACTCTGACTTCAATACACTCCACCCATCACTAAACATAGTAACATTCCTACCTTAGGAATCACTACCCTCTCATCATTTCATATCATCCATATCAAATCACAATGCAAACTATAAGCAACATAAAACATATTCAAACATTTAGGAAGGAATATTCTTCTTAGGTGAAAACATATATGGCTTAGTGAGTGTCCAATGGAATAAGACTCGTCTAGTGACCATATCACTCACCCAATGAGAATATAACTTTGATGTTCTCTGACTTAGCACTCGTTCAACGGCCTACACGCTCACCCAACGAGACTCACTCACCTGGTAAGACAAACACACACCTTGCTCTCGAGTTTTTGACATTTTTCTCTTTGCTCAACTATGCTCTTACTTGTTCAATGAGTATATCTCTCGGCACCACTTATAACAAGCTCGCCCAAAGAGAAATAACTCACCTAGAGAGGAATAACTCACCCAAAGAGCAATAACTCACTCAACTAGTAAAAGTATTAGAGCTCTCTATGATACAAATTTTGCACTATCGGTTAGCGAGTCATATGTTCGCCTAACGAATTTGCATAATTTTACAATATTAGTTGTGCTCTAAATCAACATGTTTATACATTTTACTTATTTTTCAATTAAAAACAATCTTTTGACACTTCTAGCAAAACCTCAAACAGATCAAACGAAATCATACAAACAATCATACATATTATAAGTAAAGAAAACTCATATTACATATAATCAATTCAAATATCAATCGTGTAAAACTATTATTTTAAATAATTCTTTACACAACAATTTATAACATTCTACAAACACACATATTACAACTCATTATATAGTCATAAATTTAAATTTAAAATTAACCACTACACTTTTAGGTATTTTCTAGGCTTTTATACAATTGTTTACTCATTTTTAACAAATTAACAATATAACTTAAATTAAATTTATTATTTTTTCCCTTTTCCAAATCAATTAAAATTACTTCCATTTTTTTTATTTATCTTTCCCCTTAAACCAATTCCATTTTTACCATAATTAATTTTATTTTATCATGTCAATTGAATCTATTTCAAATTTTCATCTCATTTTCCCTTTTTTTTTTTCATCCATGTATTATCCTTTTCTATGTTTTTCTCTTCTTCTTTTTCTACTCTTTCCGTGAGATATATGAATAATAAAAAAAAATGTGAAAAAAATTTACCAAAACATCTTTAAAACACTTTATAAGACTAATCTTTAATCTCTCTTAACGAATAGACCATATTCACCCAAAGATAACAAAATAATTGGATGAAATATTTTTGTTAAAGGTTTAATTATAAATTCCCCTTTTAAAGTTACAAATTTATTTTTTCTAAAATTGTATACTAACTTTTTTTCTTTATATATTATTATATTTTAGTTCATATCATTCTGATATTTTTTTTAATTCCTAGGTTTAAAATGTGATAAAAATTATTAGCAAAATAAAAAATATTTAAAAAGTAGAAACTAACAATAATTTTAATCGTAGATATGAATTACCAATTTAATCTTTCATAAATAAGATAAGCCTTTATCGTATAGCCATTGCCTCTGATTCTAAAAGGGCCCTTCTCTTTTTCGGAAACCTCCTTCTCTCTAGCACAGTTTTCTTAAAATTACTTTCCAAGCAGGTTCCCAAATTCTGAAATCAAGGGTTTTTGAAATTCAATTATCACATTCTTATACCTATAACTACACACTTGCCGTTCAATTAATCTCATTTCTGTGTTTACCTACTCTCTTCTCTCAACTGCTAAGCTTTGCCATGGCTACCGAAAAAGTCAAACCCATTGGCATTGACTTGGGCACAACCTACAGCTGCGTAGCAGTGTGGCAAGACAGCCGTGTCCAAGTCATTTCCAACGACCAAGGCAACCGCACTACCCCTTCCTACGTTGCCTTCACCGACACTCAGAGGTTGTTGGGCGATGATGCCATGAATCAGCGATTCAAGAACCCTCACAACACTGTCTTCGATGCCAAACGTTTGATCGGTCGCAGATTCTCCGACATGTCTGTTCAGCAAGACATGAAGCTCTGGCCCTTTAAGGTTGTCGCTGGGACCAGAGACAAACCAATGATTGCGATCACCTACAAAGGCGAAGAGAAGCACCTTGCAGCAGAAGAGATATCTTCCATGGTGCTGTTTAAGATGAAGGAGGTCGCGGAATCCTATTTGGGTCACGCAGTAAGGGATGCAGTTATCACTGTCCCTGCTTACTTCAGCAACGCGCAGAGACAAGCTACAAAGGATGCTGGGAAAATCGCTGGTTTGAATGTGTTGAGGATCATCAACGAGCCAACCGCAGCTGCCATTGCTTATGGATTGGACAGGAAAGGATTCAGAGAGGGTGATCAGAACGTCCTTGTGTTTGATCTCGGAGGTGGAACATTCGATGTTTCCTTGGTGACAATTGATGAAGGGATGTTTAAGGTTAAGGCCACGGTGGGAGATACTCATTTGGGTGGTGTGGATTTTGATAACAAATTGGTGAACCATCTTGTGAATGTGTTTAGAGAGAAATACGGGAAGGATATCAGTGGGAACGCGAAATCTTTGGTAAGATTAAGGTCAGCATGCGAGAAAGCTAAGAGGATTCTGTCTTCGACTTCCCAGACCATTATAGAGCTTGATTCTTTATATGAAGGGATTGATCTATATGCCTCTGTTACGAGGGCCTTGTTCGAGGAACTGAACAAAGACTTGTTCATTAAGTGTAAGGAGACAGTGGAAAAGTGCCTGGTTGAGGCCAAGGTTGACAAGAGCCAAGTTCATGAGATCGTTCTCGTCGGTGGGTCCACTAGAATTCCAAAGGTACAGCAACTTCTGAAGGACATGTTCAGCGTCAACGGTAACATCAAAGAGCTTTGCAAAAGCATCAACCCTGACGAGGCCGTGGCGTACGGTGCTGCAGTTCAGGCAGCAATTTTGAGCGGTGAAGGAGATAAAAAGGTGGAGGAGTTGTTGTTATTGGACGTGATGCCAATTAGTCTCGGAATTGAGGGTGCTGGTGGTGCCATGTTAGTGTTGATCCCCAAGAACACCGTGATCCCCACCAAGAAGGAGAGGGTTTGTTCGACCTGGTACGACAATCAGAAAAGCCTCACGGTCAAAGTGTTTGAGGGAGAACGAGGCATGGTAAAAGACAACTTCTTTCTCGGCAAGTTTGTCCTCCATGGGTTCGAGCCATCGCTAAAGGGAGTCCCACAAATCAACGTTAGCTTTGACGTGGACGCAGATGGCTTTGTGGAGGTGACGGCGGAAGATAAAGCCACGGGTCTAAAGAAGAAGATAGTGATCAATAACAAGCAAGGAAGGTTGAACCCGGAAGAGATCAGAAAAATGGTGAGGGATTCAAAGAAGTATAGGGCAGAGGATGAGGTGGGGAAGAGGAAGATGAAGGCAAAGAACGCACTTGAGAATTTCGCTTATGAAATGAGGGAGAGAGCGAGAAGGATCGAAGAGGCAGTGGAAGAAACCATAGAGTGGCTAGAGAATAACCAATTAGCAGAGATAGAGGAGTTTGAGTACAAGAAGCAGGAGTTAGGAAGGTATCTAAAAGATGATCCCAATCCGAATAATACCTCAAATTCTGAGGTTAAGGTTCCTATATGGTGTACGTGGAGATGTCCACCCAGTGGGTGGGTTTGTCTGAACACGGATGGGTCGGTGTTTGAGAACCATCGAACAGGGTGTAGCAGAGGTGCGTGCGGGGGTCTAGTTCGAGATTCCGCAGGATGTTTTCTAGGTGGTTTCGGTGTTAATTTGGGGCCCACATCAGTGAAGTTAGCGGAGTTGTGGGGGGTTGTTCACGGTCTGAAGTTAGCGTGGGATCTTGGTTGTAAGAAGGTGAAGGTGGATATTGATTCGAGCCATGCTCTTGGTCTCGTTAGGCACTGTCCAGTGGGTAACGACCCAGCGTTTGCGGTGGTTCAGGAGATCAATGAGCTTGTTCGGAAGGATTGGTTGGTGGAGTTCTCACACGTGTTTAGAGAATCTAATCGTGCGGCTGATCGCTTGGCGCACTTGGGACACTCTCACTCTTTGCAATCGGGTGGGAAGCGATTTTCGGACCCTCCATCTGCCATTGTTGATATTCTTCGAGATGACTTGGCAGGTCTTGCAAAGCAACGCGGCGTTCCTTAGTGCGGTTTATCTGTATTTACTCATCCATGGTTATAAGTTTTTTTTTTTAAAAAAACTTTTCTGCTTTTATGATGAGGCCACTGTGCTTGTAATCATTTGTCCATTAACTATAAATTAAGCATATAATTATGAGTACAGATATACCATATCACACTCAACAAAACTTTCTCAAAATATAAATTTGGTCAAAATTTCTATAAATGTTATTTTAAATAAAAATACATAATTTAGGTAATTCAAAATATGTTTTAGCTCGACCTATTTAAAACATAAAAAATCATTATTAATAAGTATTGTTTTATTAAATTTATTTTAACGGATTAAAAATTTATTTAATATTAGTGACTCTATACCTCGCTTAGATTTTAGATTGATCTATTTCAGCACGTAATATTGTTCACAGTTTTTGAAAAGTACGATGTTTTGACAAAGTAGATCGGTTCGGGAAAATATTTATTTATAAAAAAGACTTCCTTGTTCTAGGAAGGCTTTTAAAAATTTGTTTAGAAGATAAGTAAGAGTATAAAGAGTTGTTTAATTATTGATACTTTTTTATTGAAATTAAGGTCAGTTCGGTTTAGTTAAGTGTAATTTAATATTAGTTTGTCAAAAATAAGCATGGTCGAATTGATTTATCAATTGAGAATGAGTTAATTTATAACTTGAAAATGAGTTAAATTTTATTAAGACGGTTCCATTTTTATCTTCAATAATTTTATTATATACTTATAATTTATAAAAATAACTTTATATTTTTTTTCTCGAACTTCATCGAATTTCAAAATTTGACTTAAAAAAATGAAAAATTCTTTATCGAATTCTGAAATTCAATAAAAAAAATAAAAAGTCCTTTATTGAATTTCAAAATTCAATGAGAAAAAAATCCTTCATCGGATTTCGATATTTGGTAAAACATAAAAAATAGAGTGAAGGGGTCTTTGAATTATAAGGACACTTTTGGAATTTAAAAAAAATTGAAGGTGTAGGATGAAATTATTAGAATGCATGGTGAAATAGTTTTATCGTGACCCATTATCGGGTTGAAAGGCTGGTCCATCATTTTTTTTGTCATCGAAAATCTATCATCACATGGAAACAAATTGGAATTTTTGACTTCTTACATGAAAATGGGTTGATGTCAAGGTGAATGAGACAATAAAGGAAGAGAGGGAAATAAAGGACACGAGAATTTAAAGTGGTTCAACTTATAAATGTTTGAGTATTATACGTCTACGTCTATGTTACGCTAGAAAGTATATTTAGTTTGATGTTTTCAAGTTTTACATACAGTTGCTTATATAACTAAACAAAGAACAACATCTCACAATACTAAGCGATGTGAGATTAAATTGAGCTCCGCAATATTAATAATTCTTCTACTTGGAGTCTGATTTACATTATCACCTAATGTAGTTGCCTTCGTCATCAATTATTCTTGGAGGTCATTTGAGACAATACTAAGCCTCAACATATCAACTGGATTCCTTGCATGTGAAATCTTCGACCAAGACAAGTCTCCATCATTTACAGAGTTTTTGATAAAGTTATACTTCAATTCAACATGCTTGCATCTAAAATGAAAAATGGATTTTTTGTAAGATATATAGCACTTTGACTATCATTGAATAATTGAGGGTCATCAGATTTTAAACACAAAAAAGACATCAAATTTATTCTTAAGAAAGTAGACTCATACCTTTCTTGTAGAATCATCAATGAAAGTTACATAATATTGTGAAAACTAAGAGATTTCAGAGGAGTTGCCCAAAACATTTGTATGCACCAATTATAATCTTTCAACTTTAGACATCTTGCCTATTTTGGAGAAACTAACTTTTTCCGCTTTCCAAAGATACAAATTCATAAGACCCAACGTCAAGTTAGCTTTTGAGATCATGAGTTTCATTTCTTTTTCTCTCATATGCTCAAGCCTTTGACGCCACAAGGAGGAACTATTGTCAACTTCTGCAATGAATATCATATCGTAATCTACAATCATGTAAAGAGATTTTGCTTCTTTCCACGAGCAACAACAAGATTGTCTTTCATTACCTTCCAATGTCCATCTCCAAAAGTGGTGTTATGTTCCTCATCATCCAACTGTCCTATAAATATTAAGTTTCTCTTTTCTGATGTAGACAGACAGAATTTAATGCAGTTCAACGTACAAATGTCTACATCCAAACTACACTAAGAAGTATATTTATTTTGGTGTATCTTTCAAGTTTTACATAGAGTTAGTTATAGTAAAACAAAGAAAAACATCTTACAATACTGAGTAATATAAGACTAAATTAAGCTTTACAATACTAACATAAACGAACTGTCTTTCGAGTTGTTTCAGATCTTAATCAAGATATATAAGATCTTGGTCGAACTTTATAAATCTTGGTTGGAGAGATTATGTTAATTAAATTTTTTTTAATGAAGTGAGATCACTGTATTAACAAGTTTGATTGATTCAAATCTTGGATTGAAAATATTTTCCCAATATTTTCTTTTTGGGACTGCCAAACTAACTTTTCTTCTATCTCTAATTAAAATTTCTTATAAAATTAAGAAAATATAACCATTTGTTGTTGAAAATATGATTACTGTGATAATTACAAAGTGACGCAACAACTATTATATAATATATATTGAATTCTATTAAAAAAAATCTGTCGAATTTTAATTAAGAAATTAAGGTTTTTTTCTTGAACCGGACATGTGTCAGGCCGAAAATAATTTCCTTCAACAGGCCGAAAATAATTTCTTTTCAAGAATCAGTTTTCAAATAATTTAATCTTGAATCCAACGCATTAACCATTTAATATAAAATTGTACAGTTTATAAAAGTAAACGTATAATTAGATCTATTGAAAAATAAACTCATGATATTTAGTTTAGAGGTTTTTTTACAAAATATATTAAAAAAAGTTTATTTTATCATAATTGTTAAACATATATGGTCTTAAATGTGCTTTCAGCTTTTCAGATTTGAACAGAAAGTTTAGACAAAAAGAAGATGAGAGGAGCTTTCCTTGGCCAATGAGTGTTGACTCCTTAGGTAAGAAGCAGACATTATTTTTAATTTTATCTTTGCAATCCGTACTGCAATTTGTAGGGTCTCCTTAGCTAAGAAGTAGGTAAGGCTTCGCAAATCGGATTCAGCTTTATCTTCAAATAATTAACCAATTAAATTCAAGGGAATAAGGTGCTCATGATTCTAAGTATAACTTTGACCTACTCCTTGTCTCCTCATACTTCATGGTTTTGGTTACTTAAGGCATTTTACCTTTTGTTTGAACTATATTAAGTTAGAAATGAAAAAAAAAAATGAAAATAAGGTTATATATATATAATATTCAGAAAAGGTAAATAAATTTGAATGAAAATTTTACAATAAATATGATTAAAATGATTTTACTTTCTATTTATATTTTTATATTAATAATATCATATTTTATTTTATTATAAAGAAAACTAAAGACATAATTGATTATGATGAAATGGAACATTATGTGTTATTATAGTATAATTTACAATAACTCCTTTTCGCATGTAACATCTTTAAATTATTTTATTTTATTTTTACTTTAATTATTTATTTTATTATAATATTAAAAACATATATTGATAAAATATTAATAATTAATAAACATATATATATATATATATATATATATATATTTGGTTATGTAATATAAATGTTTTAAAAAATATTATATGTGTAACATAATCGATCATATTTTGTGAATTAATTTGTTATTATTTAAAACATAATTAATTATGTATTGATTTGGGAAATCTTTTCAATATTGCAAGAGTTTAACGTTAAAACATTTTATTTTTCATATTTTATTACTTTTATGAATTTTTTCAATAATGCTTATGTCTTCAATATTATATGCCTTGATCCAAACAAATATAAGTTTAGGTATTGGACATCCTTTTGACTATATAAATAACATGAGCAAATAATGTGTGAAAGAAGAATATTCATATGAGAAATTAAATTTATTGTCAACCGTAAAGGGATTTCAATGGAGCTATCTGAACTATATACTAATGCATTTGTAATTTTATCATTTCAAATTTTTGTTAATGGTCTAGACTTTTATTTGTGGTCTTATTCTAAATTTTGATTTGCCTCGAGGTAGATTTTTTTGGTTATTTCTTCCTTTATTTTATTTATCAAAGAACTTGAAGTCATCACGACTTCTCTAAATTAAGATTTGAAACCAAAAATTTCTGATGTGGAAGATCATACAAAGTTACAATCACATAGCATAATGTAGGTCAATGTACAATTATATCGTCTACTTCCACACTACACGAGGAAGTATACCTATTTTGGTGTGTCTTTAAAGTTTTACAGAGAGTTGTTTATGTAGCTAAATAGATAATAACATCTCATCTCATAATACTAAGCGATATAAGACTAAATTAAGTTTGACACTACTAACAACTACCTTCCGAGTTGTTTTAGATTTTGATCGAACTGTATGAGACTCTGACAAAATTATATCATGACCAGAATGTTGGGCCATGTAAATTTTTTAATGAAGTCAGAATATCGTGTTTGGCGAATTGAAATGATTTAAATTCTTGAATTGAAAATGTTATCCTAACTCGTTTTTTTCACCGGACTGATAGATTAAACTTGACTCCTTTTGTCATTAAAACTGTACTATAGGATCACCCGGTCAGCCAAAGACCGAGTGAGTGACCATCTAGTGAGAAAATGACGGACCGGTTCGAAAATTAATCTGAGTAATAACAACTATTAATAGACAGTTAATAAAAATAATAATCATTAATTGACAATAAATATAAATAATGTTATTTATTGATAATAAATGAGTCAGACCTAATGGTAAGTTTAACATAGTATTTATAAATATATGTCCAAAAGGAGACGTCAGATAATTAACTTTAATTACTGATCTTTATTACAAAATTACGATGCAAAGTAGCATTAGAGTACCTTTGACAGATACTCTCCTATACAGCTTCAACACGAAGAAAAGACTAAACAATGCAACTTTGATGACAGAGAATTTTCAAACAATTTTGAGTGTTTTGAGTAAGAGATCTCAACCCAACCCAAAACAAAAACTTTAACAAAAACTTTTTATAAACTTAAAAGAATATACCTGCTTATTGTTGAAAATATGATTATTGTGATAATAACAATGAATAACTATCTCACAAAATGATGCACAACTATTATATACGTTGAATGTTTGTTTTTTAAAAAAACTGTCCAATTTTAATTAAGAAATTAAGGTTTTTTTCTTGAACCGGACGTGTACATAGGTCGGGTATGTACAGTCCGAAAATAATTTCTTTCAAGAACCAGTTTTCAAATAATTTAATCTTGAATCCAGCGCATTAACCATTTAATATAAAATTGTTCAGTTTATAAAGACTAAGCCTGTGTTCGTTTGCACTGATTTCACTGTTTAAGTGAATTAGCGAGGACTGATTTATAAAGTGATGGTTGTTCTTTTGGATGGATTTGCGTGAATTTGCTCGGACGTAAAAGCGGGGATTTGCGAGATTTCACTGTTCAACCCATCTCGCCTTAGATGCGCGGATTTGCCATGAAATGCGTTCAAAATACTGATATGCCCTTACGGAATTTCAAAATACCTGTTATAAACCATATTCGGTTATCATTTTGAATAACCGATTACAGATATATGAAATTGTAATAAAAATAAATCCATGTATTGTGCTTTCACGTAAAAAGAAGAAGCCATTTACTTTGGTTTGAATAGTCAACGTGAAAAGAAGTCATTTACTTTGGTTTGAACAGTAAAGTGCACTGTGTACATGTGAAGGCCAGTTTGCAGTGTCCTGGGAAAGCATATTTTCAATTCAAAAATTGCTTTTTGCAGCAGAGATTCCCTGTTTGATTCCCTGGTGGACACTATCATTCACTGCCTTTGACTGCAAAGGAGAGAATCGAGGGAAAGTTGTTTGAATTTGAACACATTAACCATGCATGCCATCGCCATTAATAAGTTGGTTGTTGGTAGATAAACAACCAAGTTTGAAGAGTTCTGCAGATTTCCAGCTTTGGCCGAGTGTGTGTGGTGAAGTATTGAAGTCAAAGCAGCTGTGTGGAGGAGAGGTAATGTTTGTTTCCGTTTTCATGTGGTTGTTGCAGGTAGAAGCATTGTGGTCTACTTCAAGAGAGAGACAGTGTTGAACTAAATTAAAAATATAATATACCTAATTTTATTAATATTAAAATAATTATAAAAAAAAACTTTAAAAAAAAATATAAATAGAAAATCGCGTAACCGGTTACGAAAACGTGTAACCGGTTACGCAAACGCGTAACCGATTACGCGAACGTTACGCGAACGGACCAACTTTGATCTTCTTCTCCATCTAACACATCTCCTTGCTCTCCCTCCTCCCATTCTTCATGTTCCTCACATTGTTCATGTCTTTTTTTTGTAACCGGAACGGTGCCATCAACCTCAACCACGATACCGCAACCTCATCAACCGGAACGTTTTAATTGATAGGTCACATACCGCAACTTCATCAACCTCAAACCACGATACTCCCAAATCAACGTACACGCGCACACCGTCCATGCAACCGGAGAAGACTGTGCAACCTAGCTCACGTTTTCAAAGAAGCTGTAACCGGTTATAGACCCTGTAACCGAATACGCTCAACGCCAACTTCTGCATCAAAATGTAACCGGTTACGCTCGCTGTAACCGAATACGCACAACCTCCAACTCTGTAATCTGCGTCTGCTTCTCCTGCCCAAACAACGAACCATTGGTGTGCATGCTTGGTCTTCTTTCCCAATACACTGCCGTGAACAACCACAGCTCTTCAACCACTGCTTCCACCTTTGCGACCTGCATCCCGTCACTCATCATCATCAACAACCATCTTCCTCATCCTCGTCAACAACATTCAAACTCTTCCGTTCAACACTGTCTCTCTCTTGAAGTAGACCACAATGCTTCTACCTGCAACAACCACATGAAAACGGAAACAAACATTACCTCTCCTCCACACAGCTGCTTTGACTTCAATACTTCACCACACACACTCGGCCAAAGCTGGAAATCTGCAGAACTCTTCAAACTTGGTTGTTTATCTACCAACAACCAACTTATTAATGGCGATGGCATGCATGGTTAATGTGTTCAAATTCAAACAACTTTCCCTCGATTCTCTCCTTTGCAGTCAAAGGCAGTGAATGATAGTGTCCACCAGGGAATCAAACAGGGAATCTCTGCTGCAAAAAGCAATTTTTGAATTGAAAATATGCTTTCCCAGGACACTGCAAACTGGCCTTCACATGTACACAGTGCACTTTACTGTTCAAACCAAAGTAAATGGCTTCTTTTCACGTTGACTATTCAAACCAAAGTAAATGGCTTCTTCTTTTTACGTGAAAGCACAGTACATGGATTTATTTTTATTACAATTTCATATATCTGTAATCGGTTATTCAAAATGATAACCTAATATGGTTTATAACAGGTATTTTGAAATTCCGTAAGGGCATATCAGTATTTTGAACGCATTTCATGGCAAATCCGCGCATCTAAGGCGAGATGGGTTGAACAGTGCGATCTCGCAAATCCCCGATTTCACGTCCGAGCAAATTCACGCAAATCCATCCAAAAGAACAATCATCACTTTATAAATCAGTCCTCGCTAATTCACTTAAACAGTGAAATCAGTGCAAACGAACACACGCTTAATAATTTGAAAATAATATCGCTACTGTTAACGTGTCCATTTTACCTATTGTGTGAAAATACTGACTAATATCAAAATATATATAAGCTGAGAATTAATTAATCGATAACAAGTCTGTAAATATCCTTACAAAGATAGGAAATGAATGCACTTTGAAATGTCAAGAAGAAGATATTGGGTAGTTCTACAAGGCGTTCCAAACCGCCCCCATTATTTCGCAACAGGTTCTAAAGGAGAACATTATGAAAAAGAAACAACCTTTAATCGAATGATGTCTTCTGCTTAAGCAACACCTCCTTAATTACTTTGTCCAAGTTCATGTATGACCGACCACCGGGTCTTGTTGCCTCCTCCGCTTTCTTCTTTAACTGCATCGTCTTTTCTCTCATCTTCTTTCCCTTCTCCCCTACCATCAACTCATTTACCACCTTCTCCACCTCCTCTCTCTTCGCATTGCTATCAATCTCAATCCCAATCTCCCACTCACTGCACATATATCTACAGTTTGTTGGCTGTTCTGCAAAAAATGGCCAGCACAGGGTTGGGACTCCGGCGCAAATACTTTCAGTCGTTGAGTTCCATCCACAGTGAGTCAAGAAACCACCAACTGAAGGATGGTTCAACACTTTCTCCTGTGGACACCAGCTTGCAATTAGGCTTCTGTCTCTAGTTTCATTCACATACTCTGATGACAGAATCACGGAACCTCCGGCGACAAGATCGGGCCTGATGATCCACAAAAACGGTTTCTTGCTGTTGGCCAAACCCCAAGCAAACTCCAACATTTGCTCTGCGGACATAACTGTGATGCTGCCAAAATTCACATAAATAACAGATCGAGGTTTCTGGGATTCGAGCCAATCAACACACTCAGTTTCCTTCCAAAGATTGTAACCTAAAGATTCCAAGTGGTGATGTGGACTTTGGTTTAAAAGTAAAGAGAACGGACCAATGGGATAAAGAGAAGGAAAAATAGACGATAGAGCATTCAGTACATCTTCCTCAAGTTCGTCAAATGTGTTAAAAAGAATTATCGAGTTTTTTTCAACTGTATTTGCCAATTCAACGAAAAACTGCAAATGTACATCATTTGGATCCGTTGTCCATAAGAAGTCAACCATGTCCTTCAGCCGAAAGTTCTCCATTCCAGGAATCCAGTCCANTTTTTTTTATAATTATTTTAATATTAATAAAATTAGGTATATTATATTTTTTAATTTATTAAAAATAAATTAATTATTATATTTTCTAATTTATTTTTAATAAATTGATTATTATATTTTCTAATTTATTTTTAATAAATTGATTATTATATTTTCTAATTTATTTTTAATAAATTGATTATTTAGTTTTCTAATTTATTAAAAAAAATTGATTATTTAGTTTTTTTAATTTTTAAACATTAATTTTATAAATTATTCATTATTTTTTTTTCTTTATAAACATTTTTACAATTAAATATAACATTTATAAATAACATTTTATATTACTTTTATAACTAGGGGCATTTTGGTAATCCTTAATTTCTATCAATTAAACTAATTTTTAAAATCTATCACATCAATAAAATCCTACACTAATTGTCACAAACTTTACTTCCAAATCCACTCTCAATTACCCACAAATCCACTCAAAAAAACAACAAAAAAATTACCCTCAAATCCATTCAAATCATCTCTCCTAAATCACTCCAAACGAACACAGCCTAAAAGTAAAGACTAAAAGTAAACTTTAGATCTACGGAAAAATAAATTCAAGATATTTAATTTAGAGGTTTTATTACAAAATATATTAAAAAAAGTTTAATTTATCATAATTGTTAAACATATAAATGTGCTTCCAGCTTTTCAGATTTAAACAGAAAGTTTAGACAAAAAGAAGTTGAGAAGAGTGGATTTTGAGCTTTACTTGGCCAATGATTGTTGACTCCTTAGTTAAGAAGCATTACATTATTTTTAATTTTATCTTTGGAATCCGTACTGCAAATTGTTGTGGTCTCCTTAGCTAAGAAGTAGGTGGTACAGTTTCAAATCGGATTCAGTTTTATCTTCAAATAATTAACCAATTAAATATAAGGGAATAATGCGCATACTTCATAGTTTTGTTTGCTTAAAGGCATTTTACATTTTGTTTGAACTAGATTAAGTTAGAAATGAAAAAGAAATGAAAATAAGGTTATTTATATTCAGAAAAAGTAAATAAATTTGAATGAAAAATTTACAATAAATATGATTAAAATTATTTTACTTTCTATTTATATTTTTATATTAATAATATCATATTAATTATTTATTTTATTATAGAAAACTAACGGCATAATTTATTATGATGAAATGAAACATTATGTGTTACTATAGTATAATTTACAATATCTCCTTTTCGCATGTAACATCTTTAAACTATTTTATTTTATTTTATCATTAATTATTTATTTTATCATAATATTAAAACATATATTGATAAAATATTAATAATTAATAAATATATATATATATATTTATATTTTTTGGTTATGTAATATAAATGTTTAAAAAAAAAATTGTGTGTAACATAATCGATTTGTTATTATTTAAAACATAATTAATTATGTATTAATTTGGGAAATCTTTTCAATATTGCAAAAAAGTTTAACGTTTAAAACATTTTATTTTTTGTATTTTTTAATATTTTATTACTTTATTTTTTGAATTTTCTCAATAATGCTTCTGTCTTGAGTATTATATGCTTGATCAAAACAGACATAAGTTTAGGTCAGAATATCCTAAATAACATAAGCAAATAGTGTGTGGAAGAAGAAGAAAAATCCTACGAGAAATCAAATTTTCACATGCAATAATTCATATACAGTAATCCATCACAATGAAATTATCTTAATAAGTTAAGTCAAAACAATAATAACAGTGAAATTAAGATAAACATCTACTCTTTTAAAAGTAAACTTTTATTTTATTTTTATTTCTCTTTATTTAAATGATTTTATTTTTTATTTATATATATATATATATATATATATATACTGAGAATTCGATTATCTAATTATATTTTTTACTTTATGTAAAGAGTCTTGTTAAATACTAAATATATTATATAATATTAGTAAAAAATTAGATACTTAATGAGTATATATTTTAAAAATCGAAAGAAAATAGCAAGTGTCACAAAAAAGTAATAGTGAGTGACTTTTATTTTGTCATGTTGCTGAAAGGTAAAAGTAATTTATAATGTATAGTGGACACTGGGCAGTGGCAGGGGATGATAGCGTGTGATGTGAGGAAAGACTGAAACTCTGGTCAGAATAGTAGGCATGCCTGTTGTGCCACCGTTCAGTCACCTCAAATTCAAATCAACAAAAACACTCTTTACAAAATCTGGCAGTAATTTCACAGAGAAAGATATTCTCCTTGAAAAACATCCTCCACATTTGTTGGGATTAAGTTCAAGTCACAGTCACGGATAAGAATAAATAAATAAATATAGTAAATAAGAAACACTGTTTGAATTAAATCAATAATGATAAAAATAAAAACTAGGAAAAACTTGGTAAAGGATTTTAACTAATATAATAAAATAAAATATTAAAAAATAATAAAATTGTTTAGATAAAAATTTAAATGGTTAGATATTTATCAACTATCTTAAGTTAGATAATTTTGTTTCCTTATAAATTACACAATACTCATCAAACAGTATATTTTATATTTGTAATTTCATAAAATGATGTATTTTTTTAAAAGTATAAATTAAAAGAGAAATAAATATTAAATTAAAATAAAAAACCACTTAAAAAGTTTAATACATAAAGAAATTATTTTGAAACATCAAATTAAAAAAAGCTATTTCAGAAAGTAATAGGCTTAGTTATTATTCCGTAATGTGTTGTAGATATAATTTTGTCTTTAAGTTCGTAGTAATATTAAGCAGTATTTTTGCAGAACAACGAGCTCCACTCTTACCAACACAGCATTCCTTTCCTCCTCACTCTTGCTCCCCTCAGGTTCAGTCTTTTTCCATTTCGTTACCTTACCCTCACATGGAAATGGGAACCCTTGCCTCTGTTTTGTATCATACCACACCAAAAACTGAGCCATACGAGGTTAAAAATGTTGCACCTATGGTGTCTTCTTACAATCAGTGCATACGTCCGATCCTTGACGCTCTTGAGAACCTTAGGCGCCTAAACATCACCAAAGAAGGGATACAGCTTCCAGCCATAGTGGTAGTTGGTGACCAATCTTCTGGAAAGTCCAGTGTCTTAGAATCTCTGGCTGGAATCAGCTTGCCCCGTGTTGGAAGTCCCACATCGACTAGAGATAAGGCCAAATTATAATATATAAGTGAGGTGCAACCCAATTTCTACTATCACGCACGAGATGTCTATACCTCGGCGTGAAGGGGTGTGTTGGAAGTCCCACATCGACTAGAGATAAGGCCAATTTATAATATATAAGTGAGGTGCAAACCTCACCTTACAAGCCGGTTTTGTGGGGTTGAGTTAGGCTTAAAACCCACTTTCTAATATGGTATCAGAGCCATGGTTAGTGCCTATCCTAGCGAGTTCTAAGTGGACATTCTATTCTTCTATTCCACCCGCTATCGGGCCGTTATCGGACCACCCAATTTCTACTATCACGCACGAGATGTCTATACCTCGGCGTGAAGGGGGTGTGTTGGAAGTCCCACATCGACTAGAGATAAGG